GTTTGCTTTACGGTTACAGGATAATCTTTATGGGCAAAGAGGTCACTTTAAAACTTTTGTTGCCATTGTTACTATCTGATAGCTAGTCTGTCAGTGATGGGCTGCTTTCTGTTTCAATATTTATTCAGGCCAAGAGTATCCTGCAGTCGTAGAGTTTGCTCCCTTTCAAAAGATTTCGAAGAAGAAGCTAAAGAAAAAAGATGCCAAAGCTGGGAGCATTGAAGAAGGTAAAATACATTAGAGTCTGTCCTGCTCTAAAGCTGTCCTAAATACAGTTTGTCATTCTTACATGGGTTTAGGATGTTCAGAGAATCAAAAGTGTTTAAATAGGACACATTTAGGTCAGAACTTGTTAATTTAGTATCTGTTCCATTCTGGGTCAGATCCAGAATATAAGCGGTTCTTGGAGAATTACTCCTGTGACGAGGAGAAGTCTATGGCCAACCCTGAGACACTGCTAGGAGAGATAGAGGCCAAGACCAGAGAGCTCATAGGTACAGTAAAATATCTTCATGTGTCCATCTGCCTACTAATAGCGTACCACAGATTTTTATATATTGATTAACTGATTCTATTGTTTCTTGATTTTAGCCAAACGGACGACACCGCTGCTGGAGTACATCAAAAATAAGAAAATTGAGAAACAGGTAGGAAGGCGAAGCTATCTCCAAAGTGTTTTTGAAATGTGAAACATCTATTTCAAGCTGTCCCATCTTCCTCGACAGAGAATAAGAGAGGAGAAGAGAGAGGAGAGAAGAAGAAGAGAGCTTGAAAAGAAGCGGCAAAGGGAGGAGGAAAAGAGAAAGCGGCGGGAGGAGGAGAGACGCAAGCGAAAAGAGGCAGAAAAGCAGAAGAAATTGTCTGACAAAGACATTAAAATTAAGGTAGCCAGTCAGCATAAAAATCTCATTAAATAACCATTGTTGTTTAGATCATGCAGTGGCGTGTAGACATGGAGTTTTTTCTGTATTATTTGTGCTCCTTCAGCTCCTTAAGAAAAGTGACCGGGATGATGATGTGGATTCAGACCGAATGAAGGACAAGAGTGACACTGGAGAGACAGACAGAGGCAAATGGGAGAAAACTGGAGGACAAATAAAGTCAAAGGACCCCAAAGACAAGTAAGGACTGTGAAATCATTCAGACATGTTGACTGGTTTTGATTTTGGCTGACAGAATTAGATCACTACTAGTTAAAATACGGCACCCCTATGGACAGTTTTCAGACATATATATGTACCAAAACATAAATCAATACCGTAAATATTTTGATTGCATTTAACATAACATATTAGCCGCAATATTTTATGTATTCTAAAGGACAATCATTGATCTTTGTAGCATTAATATACAGTTAATAATTACAAATTGTATTGCAGAAAAACCAAAAAATACTTTTAAAAACCTTCCATGATGTCTTATAATGCAAATCTTTTGCAACTAGCATCCTGGTGTCTAACCTGGTGTTTCTGCAATCTATATTCTGACCACTAGAGGTCAGCCTGAGAGTGACAAGGAGCAGCGAGAACAGCATGGGCGCAGGCAGAGAGATAAGGATCACCGTGGGAAAGATGAAGAGAGGAAACGACAGAGGCATCACTATGAGTTTGACAAGTTCATGCGGCGGAAGGATGAGACCAAATGGGGGAAGGGCTACTGCCAGGACCGAGCAAAGAAAGAAGGACACCATCATGGCTATTCCTACTGTCCTGACAGTGGAGACAAGATAGGAAAGGAGGAGAGAGAGGACCTGGGTAACAGGAAGGAACGCCTCCGAAACAAGGTGAGCGAGAAGGTGAGCATGAGAATGGGGAGAAGGCGATCGCTGATTGTTTCATCACTAATTTGTTCATCTGTGTAGACTTGTTTCAGATATTGATTTATGTGTGACTGTCTCCATCTGATAGTAGGCCAGCTTATGTTTCTTCCAAGCAGGCCTGTGAAAACACTATTAAATGCATCATAAACAAAGATATCATCAGTGGGTTTTTCAACTTTTTTTTTTGCTCCTGCCAGACTCTCAGACCTGTGAAACCCACACTGTTGTTTGAAGGCTGTCAGTTTCACAGCTTCATTTGTGTTTAGAGCTAGGTGTCAGTTAGTGTAGCCTCAGGCTTCAAGCAGAGATGATGCCAGCAGCTGTAAATTCACTACTTATTTTTGTTTGCTTTTGTTCTTTTTCAGCCACACGGTTTTCAACCCCCAAAATAACAATTTTTAATACCCTATTATTTGAAGCAATTTACCAGATTCTGTGCAACTCCCACTGGAATCACAAAATACTTCAGTAAATGGTAAATGGCCTGTATTTATATAGCGCTTTACTAGTCCCTAAGGACTCCAAAGCGCTTTACATATCTAGTCATCCACCCATTCACACACACATTCACACACTTCAGTAGAGCTTTATATGCAGCAGTTTCACCCAAAAGAACTGTGAACTTGCTTTGTTGTGTATGAATAAGCAGATCCCTTTTAGAAATTGAATGAATGGTATTTAACCTTGGAGATAGTTACTGCAATCACCCATAGTGTGCACTATTGTAATCACAAATTGCAAGTAACCACACATAGTAGGTAGGCTCAGTGTAATCAAGTTGCTACTATATAGCGTATCTCCCATGTCCCTGCGCTCTTTTCTCCCTGCAGGACCGTCCAGCCATGCAGCTCTATCAGCCAGGTGCACGCAACCGGAAGCGCATGAGCTCGGCAGGCAAAGGCTACGACTGCATCCCTGTGGGCCACTCGCCTGAATCCAGGACGGAGCACTGTTATGAGGTTGCGACCATGGCAACGGGGCTGGAGAAAGGTTTTGAGAAAAGTAAAGATGAGCAGTGAGCAGTGTGGACGCTTTAAGGGGTAAAAACGAGTTAATTATTCATCCTTCACCTAAGTTGGTGGTGACAGATTCGACTGGTTATCACTGAGCTTTCAAGATGAATATACCCCGCTGAGAAAGAAAAATCACTTCAAAAGCAGCCTAGTAGTAATTTTTCTGTGTGTTAGGTGTGATGAAATTCAGAGATTTGGGTGTTGGTCAGGATTCTGTTTTGGGGGTTTTTTGCCTGCTCGAGCATGAAGACTTGGAGGAAAGAATACCAGAATGATAGCACAACAGTGAAACAAATCTTTTTTTGTTTTATGCCCTGCTCTTCCTGTGTTCTCATTCAGAGATTGGCGCTATAGCTGCTACTGAAACTGCTCTGCTAGCTACTTTCAACTTCATCAGCACTTGAGCCAGTTATGTGTCATTCTGTGTAGTGATAATATTGAAGTGTGATCCCTGTGGGAGGCAGCTAATTGGCAGCATCCATCAGTAGTTTACTTGTGAGACCATTGCCTCATCCTCTGCATCCTCTATAGTTCTCAGATCATGTATATTTTATAATGCTCTTATAGATTTTATGTAAACTAAGAATATTGCAACTAGAACGTATAGAAAATGGATGTAAACAATGCCAGGCAGGAAATTTTGTGTGTGTTGTTGTGTGTAAAAGCGAGCGAATGAGGGGAAATGTTCCATTTTACTTGCGTGTCTTAAATTTGGTCCATCCTATTTTTCAGGCGTCTCTGTCTCTACAACAGAGATCCTGTTTTTGCGTGTGAGCCAAGCTTTGTACTTGATCACCCAGGAGCCAGGAAGAACACATTCTCTACATTTCTATAAAGTATTTCCTAGAAATAAATTATGTAAAATTGCAAAGTATGGCACCAATGGGTGACCACTATTAATTTTTTATGCTCTTTGCATGGTTTTCTAATAAAGCCATCAACTAAATGTAATGGGGAAGCTACAAATATTCATTTAAAAAGCCTTATATTTTTGTTTTTGTTTTTGCACGTGTCCCAACATGGAAACTGACAGTGTTTAAACATGTAATACCTCTTGGATCATTTTGTTGTTGCTTTAATTTTCCATAAGTGTGATAAAATAAAAAGACTAAACCGTTAATTTTTTCTGTTAGTGTGGTTGTCTAACAGTTTGGGTGAAGCCAGATTTACCTGTGCATAATATGCATTAACAGTTGCTAGTTATGAGTCATTACTGTTTGCATATGAATATAGTTGGTATTCGGTCGTTGCAGGAAGAGTAAAGTTGGTGAAGTGAGACTGTTGAAGGCTGGGTCGCAAGTGACATTGAAGAAAAGTTGCTCATGCATTTTGTTTTTGCTCTTTCTTCAGAATATCCTCACAGACACAGTTTGTCATCTTTCCCCCAGATAAAGCAGAAGTATCATAATCAACAGGAAACCAGCAGAATAAGAGCACACATGTACACACTGTAATTCTCATGAACGTGCGAAAAACATGCATTCTCACTCACAAGACTCTTAACAACTGTAATATCACATTCGTGGGTATATGTTCACACTTTCATATAGGTGTTGAAGGTGGCAGTTGGTATTTCCTCAGACCTAAAAACTCTCTCACGATCCCTCTTTATAGTCTTTAGTCCTTAAACTTTGTTATTTTTGCTCAGTTTTTGTTCAAATTTATCCCCCCTCCTCCTCCTCGCCACACACTGGCATACATGTCACAGGTTTTACTTTATGCCTTCTCTCTTCTTTATAATCTCACTTAATGAGCAAAAGCGAAAGAGACACTATGACACTCTGGGAACTCCCAAAGACTTTAAGAAGTTTACTATAAATCTGTACACAAACATAGTGGGTTTTTACATTTCCAGTCTCATTTCTTAGAAGCTCTCAGTAGAGTTCGGTCACACAATGTTTTACTAAATAACCGATTACACAGGAGCGCCATAGCTGAAGTTATTATGGCGAACATGGGAAGGAATAAGACGAGCATGTGGGGGAACGTGGCAAGTAAACGTGTGCTCATAAGCTTGAGGTGAGTCACACATGTCTGCCTTGTTGCAAGTAATTTCCAAGACTGAATCTAATGGGTGGCCGTTAGTGCAGTTGGTAGGATAAAGATTGTCACATGATCCATTTCCTGCGATTCTGGCACCGTAAGTTGAAACCCCCATTTCCTCAGCAGCCTTTCTTAGTCACAATATCTGTAACCCATCTATAACTGACACTCAGATGCCAACTTGTGGCTTCAGCGTGTGTTCGCAAAGGTGAGTTCTCAGCTCTTGTATACAATACGCATTATTTCCCAGTGTGTTACTGAATAAAGACGAGCCCAGTTGTTATTGTTATTATTTTAGATGGTTTGTATTCATTTTTACCTTTTCACTAATAGTAGATTCAACATGATGTTTTGTTTTGTTTGTTTTTTAAATACATGTGCTTTAGTTAAAAGTTAAAAAAGGAAACGATTACGACAGCGTTGAGGCGACAACAGTTTGAACAAATTTCATGAGAGGCAATGTGAGTGAGTTTATGTAATGTTAAAATATAATTCTGAAGAACACATTAGTAAAAATGTGCCTTTATAGTGGTATGAGAAATAGTTTTCAGGAAATGAAAAAGGGTAAGTTACCAAAATGGTGTTGTCGTCACTAACAGTAACAGCGATGAAGTAATAACGTAATTCCCATGGCTTAAAACTGAAAGAAACTTTCAATGACTCAAAGTTGGTGGTCTGTAGATTTCACCTTTCTTTGTAATGTGGTAACTTTGTTCACCACGATTGCCATGCGGGCCATGGCGCGTGAGGAAAAAGTGCTTGTATTCACTGCTTTTGCTGTAGCGTTCATCGTCTCGCAGTTTCAGTTTACGGTTTTAAGCCTTTTAAGGATATTGTTTGCTACAGGTTACAAATCAGCTCCCCAGAGCATTTCACAAGATTGAAAAAAATAAGCCATAGCAACAGTTGGCACTCTGCACCACAAATCATGCATACCTTTTTCCTGTGTGAAAACTCCACCCGACACATGTGCTGCTCGCACGCGAACATCAACACAGAAATAGATTCCTGGAATAAGGGCAAAGGTATTTGTTTCACACCTTGAGATCAATCATTCGTGTTTCTGCAGCAAAATACTGTTTGTAACAGCACTTCAGACAGGATGAGAGGGTTTTTTTCTTCCCTCAGTCATTTATATTGATGTATGAGAAATGCAGGACATCAAGATGTGCTGCAAGCTGTCAGTGCAAACAATCCCTCCAACTGTACTTTAAATTGTGTATGCAATGTTACACTAGTGCTAACTTTAGTTGATTTTGACACTTTTGTCACCAGGACAGTTCTGCACTGATTTACTTCTTTTCTCTTTTTTTAGTTGTGCTGTGATTTTCATTTGAGTTAAGATTGTGTTTACACTTTCATTGTTGGGAACAAGTGATGTGGTTTCCAATGCTTGTGTGGGCGAGAGCAGTGTCGGTGTTTATCCATTCGGTGTGCTCATCCATGGCTGCTGTTCAGATGTTAACAAAAAGCTGTTATCATGTAACCAAACAGGGTACAGCACAAAGGAATGGTGAAATGGAGTCATTAATTAAGCTTGGTTACTTTGGCCGGGTACATTAAATTTACATGACTTACTCAAATGTAAATATTTCACACTCAAAATTAAAAAAAGATTTCTGACTTGCCATTGTAATATTAGAGGCTACTTTCAGCTGCTTGATTTTTTATTTCTTTTTTTATTAAGCGATTGGTGTGCATGCTTGTTTAGGTAAATCCAACATATATATTTTTAGAGTGTAAATAACATTTCTTTACTTCCACCAGTATATTGTGAAAAAACTGACTTGTCTTCTGTGAACCTCACAAGGCTTTTCTGAACCCTTGCACACAGGTGACGAGAGACCGCTCGCTTTCAAACATGAAGGTGAATTCCAGCAAACTAGACAACGCCACGATAAACTTTCTGCAGAATTCTGGCGCCGCCATCTCTATCTCTATTTTGTACATATTCATCACCGGCATTAACTTGGTGGGAAATGGCTTGTCCATGTGGCTTCTCCTCTTCCGTACCTCTCCCAAGTCTCCTTCCATCATCTTCATGATAAATCTTACCCTTACCGACATGGCTCTCGGTGCTGCTCTGCCCTTTCAGATCTCCTACCAGCTCCAAGGATATCAATGGAATCTGGGACCAAACATGTGCAGGTACTTTTTATTAAACTCGGACATTAATGGGACAGGGGGATTATTGATTAATCTGCAGAAAAAACTTGCGTTGAAGACAACAAAGTTATATAGATATATCAAGGTATATATATACATGTGCCACAGCTTTTCTTCTATTACACTGATTTTATACAGATATTTCAAGGGAGACAGAGCGTGACAGTCTTGATGCTATGACAGTGAAAGTAGTCACATCTTTAAATAGAAAATATACGAAAGTGTAGTCGAGATTCACTTCATTTTCCTGAACCTGTTACTGATTATTTTTTTACTTCAGCCAGCAATTAAACAGAAAACGTTTTTTCTTTCTTCCCATTTACAGTTTTGTGACCCTCGTTTTCTACTCCAATATGTACTGCTCCATCCTTACAATGATGGCCATCGGTATCGACCGCTATCTGGGCATTGTCAGGCCCATGCTGTTCAGGCGGATCAGGAAGAAGAGACTGATCGCTTTTATCAGCTGCTTCGTCATGTGGGGTTTGGTCCTGAGCACTCTGTATCCACTGATGACGACAGACCTGACCTATCGCGTTCCTCAGCTTAACATTACAACCTGTTTTGATATACTGAAGACAGAAATGCTTCCATCCATGGCGGCCTGGGCAGCCTTCCTCTTCAGCATGGTCTTTGTTCTCTTTCTCTTTCCGTTCTGTGTGACATCATTCTGCTACATCAGTGTCATACGCAAGCTGGCCAGTGATTCAAAGACATCCCAGAAAAAGAGAGCAATCCGTCTGGCAGTCATTGTTCTCTTAGTCTTCACATTCTGCTTTGGTCCAAACAACATCCTCCTGCTGATACATAGCGTGCTGAGACTCTACTATAAGAAGTCTATCTACACAGCCTACAAGCTGTCTCTGTGCTTCAGCTGTCTAAATAGCTGCCTCGACCCATTCATTTACTACTTTGCGTGTAAGGACTTCAGACAAAAGCTGAGAGAGATAATACATCTGCAGAGTTTGAGCAGTGGAGATTCAATGAAGATGGAAAATAAAGAGACTTTGTACTCTGCGCAGTGAGGTCAAGAATGAGCACAGAGAAAGGTGTTTTTGAAACCACAATCACCACAGCATAGAGCGAGAATGGGTCAAAGGGGAAGAAAGACTTCAGAAAGGAAGTCAGAGCGGGTTACTCTGAGTCAGAGAAGCTCTTTGTCTTGAGTCAAATCTCAAAATCATTTGTGCCAGTTGGGGTTTTTTTGTTTGTTTTTTCTTTGTGTGTGTGTATAACAGAATAAATGAACATGAAGAGCAGCTGTGTGTCTTGGGTAACTAGTTATCATCCCTGCATTAGCTTTCTATTTATTTTAAAGAATCCATCACCTCATTACAAAGCACATTTGTCATAGGTGGAAAACCCTGTTTCCCCTTATTATTTCTGATCTGACTTTAACAAATGCAGGATTTGTTAAGTGGATTTTCCAAGCCAGACAGAAATCTGATCATGAGCTGGAATAATCCCAATCCACAAAAGACAGACCCCCACAATCACTCGGGCACAAAGAGTTTCTGGCAAAAGCCTGGTGCCACAACCCACAGGACACCCCAGGGGTCCCTTGTCCTTGTGCCACTGCATCAGAAGTGGTTTGGCTGACTGATAGGGATCTACACAATCTTATGCAGGTAGTTTTAATGATGTAGTTTATATGTATATATCTATATTTTAACAAACATTCATATAACAGTTGTTTTTAGAATATATGTAGCATGTGCAATTATGTAGCATAAATCAAATATGTTGTATGAGCCGCACTGTTTTTGACTTTGTAACAATGTATCTCATTATTTTTTTTAAATACCTTCTCTCTGTACTGTGTGTGTATATATATACACACACGTGTGTCTATGTATATATATATAGACACACGTGTGTGTCTATGTATATACATAGACACACGTGTGTGTGTGTGTGTGTGTGTGTGTGTGTGTGTGTGTATATATATATATATATATATATATATATATACACATGTGTGTCTCAGTTTCTTCCATAATATAAATAAAATTGTTATTATTATTACTATTACTTCTTTTATTATTAGTAGTAGCAAGGCTGGACTGGCCGCTCCTGATTTTTCGTTTTAATGGGCCGATGGGGTTTTATTTCTTTTCTTTTTTTTTAATGGTATAAATGAATGGTGGTGGATTGGCCAGTTGGTCATGATCGACTCTGGGCTGGACCAATTACAGCCGAGGAGGTCGAACTTTAAAGTTGAGGTGAGAAGGAACGCGATTTGTCCCGTACTACTTCAGCTAGAAAGTTACTAATTCAATCATGAAACTGATCAGTGATCAGCTGATCGGCTTTTCTCTCTGCGCCAGAAAGAGGAAACCAGCGGAGGTCGCATTAAACAACAGCAGCACGTTGAAGCTTGATCAGCTGTTGTTAGCATTTATTTAATATTAATTTCTAGTATCAGCTGATGTTTGCTGGAGCCACAGCTGTAAAAGCTGCTGGTCATGATGTCTGTTTGGATATGTGGTGAGAGGGAAACATGAAGATGAAACCAGGAGATGTCCTTACTGAATCATCACAGATGAACAGGTGATGGAGAAACAGGTTTACATTTTAGGTTGAAGGGAAGTTATGAACTGTTGCTGAGAGACAAATAACACCAGGATCCTTTGTAGCTGACAGCTGGTAACTGTGCAGGGACGGGTCTAGCAAAGTTTTGCCAGGGGGGCAGGTAGGGCATTAACAGGGAAAGGGGGGCACAAAGAAATACTTTTCTTTCTTATTCTTATGTCTAGCTTTTATTAAATATTTATCTGAATCTTACAACCAAAGTTTTCATCTGATTTAAAATGTATAAAAATCCATTATTGTATTCAGTAAGTATTAAGGTTAGCATATACCCTAGTAAGTTATAGGGCTTTGGAGCGTGATGTCACGGGAGGGGGCGTGGCCACGATTTTTGGTCGAGCCGCCATCTTAGTAGGCCAAACAAAGGGCTACAGGGGCGAAAGCACACGGGAACATCAGCTATGGCTCGTACTTGCTATGTTGTCGGTTGCAATGTTAGATCGCACGATCGAGAAGGGAATAAGCTGGAAAATGGGCTCTCTTTTTATCGTTTCCCCTCCTGAAAGCAACATGAGGGATCTCATGTATCTGATGTTACCAAACGTGAACATCAGGCTTGGTTGGCAGCGGTGAGATGAGCTGATATCGAGTTCTCTGCCATCATTTTTTGTTGGTGTGCTCCCGACATTTTCATTCAAATTCTAAAGAAATTCATATTGCTCTTTATAGGCTTTTAGTTTTAATTTCAATGCGCTGAGGTCATAGAAAATTAGAACAAACATCTTAATGTGTGATGCAGCAGAACTGTGTTCTGTTTATGGAGTAGCTTATCGGTGACAACTTCTCCAGAGTAGTGAGTGGAATTTGCCTTTTTTTTCGGACGGTGTGTTTATCTTTTCTTCTAGAGGAATTTTTGGGGCAGCTGCTGAGGAGAAGTCAATGTTATGTGCAACCTCTGGCTGTATCTTGGTCATATGGTCAACGTACTCACAACGTGGAGGCTCAAAAGCGGCCAACTCTTGTACCCAACCGTTTGTGAATTAGATGTGCGCCTCCAGGGATTTATAATTCCGAAAATGATTCGCGGTGTATGCACTGACTCCACAGACAAGGTACGAGAAGGTATCAGGGTAGGACAATGGCGGTAGGTCTTCAGGGTTTCTACTCCACTGCCGTATTTCATACGGGTCCACATTACCAGTGCACGCTATTTTTTCCAAGTACCGTCTCTTGGCGTCCGGGCGCAATCTGTCTCGATACAGTCCTTTGACTTTTGAGCTGATTTTGAGCATGGTTCTGGAAGTCGTCCTTCCAACACAGTGTGTTTGTTTTGATTCGTGGCCTTCTCAAATGGCGCCGCGCTCCCACAATGCATTGCGGCGTTACGTCAACTCCAAAGCCCTATCTGGTCGTTAAGTCTGACGTCACTAGCCGTGTCTGGGCCTAAACTCCGCTGCAGGTCCATATATCAAACGATCACTATGGCATTACTGAGAGTTGAAAAACTGTCTAAAGTCTTTCATCTTTAATAAAATGATCAGCGTTCTGCTCTACCAGGTGTAACAATTGAGTTTAACATCCAGGCATCCATGAAAACGGAATTTATGACATTTAACGGAGTTAGAAGTTAGCAGGAAGTTAGCTCACTAGCTTCTATCTAAATACAATATAGCATGTCCTGACTGCGGGGTTTTGGAAACAAATTAAAACGTACAGCTCTGCTATCACTTCCAACATTAGTGAAGACAGAAAACTAAACAGCAGTGAGGTTTGTAGGGTTACTGAAGTTTGGCTAGCTGGTATATAATGATGTGCTACGTGACCGCTAGCGACACAGCATAATATAAACAAGCTAACTTTTTTTCCACTCAATAAAAGTTAAGTTAACGTGAGTGTTCTCGGTGGTCAGGAACAAATGTAATCGCATGGCAGGATGCTGTAAAAGGACCAAACTTCAGCCAGGAGAACAACTGAGATAATCCATCCATAATACGAGGTTAGTCATTCATATACTACTGCATGGGCTGGGCTGTAGTTACATCCTAAGGTTTTAAAAACTGAGCTTAAATAAATGATTAGCGGTAATAAAAGCCGAGGGAGGTCAACAGTGATCACTGACTGTTTTAGGAGCTTTTTGAGATTAAATAGAAGAAAATACATAACATTAAACATGTTAACAACACAAAAGCCATATTAAACGCAGACTACTTTAGGCCCGGAAGTAGGATTCGTCATGTCATCACTTAAGGACCGGATTTTATTCTTTCCTTTGGAAAGGTACCATCTGTGCAATCTGCAATTCTGTTGAAGAAAGATGTTGAATCTATTTGATTACTGGAGAAAAATAATAGATTTCTGTGCATTTGTTTTATATGTGCATTCAATTAAAATTGGTTTTGTCAATTAAGCATCTTGAGGCAGAGGGTGGGGGAGTGGTTCCCTATTTTTTTTTCTTTTCTTTTTTTCCTGGGAGTTGGCAACCCTATTAGTTAGGTATATGCAGTGTTGGTCAAGTTACTTGAAAAAAGTAATCAGTAACTAATTACTGATTACTTCCCCAAAAAGTAATCCAGTTACTTTACTGATTACTTATTTTCAAAAGTAATTAATTACTTAGTTACTTAGCTACTTTTTAAAAACACGATTTACAACCTGAATAGGTGATAAAGCGATAGATCTGTCAGCCCAATTCTACTTTTTCTGCATAATCCATCATACAAAATGTAATCAAATGGAAAAGTCTCTTTTTTTAAACTTGTTTTATCAGTTTTAATCTTTTAACTTTATGCATCAAGCAAAAATTAAATTATATGCAACATTCTCTGGCTTGAAGAAAGTAGTTTAACATTTAAACCTATTTTCTGCACGTTCCAGCACATAAAATAAAATATTTTTTGTGTTTACACTCAGTCTTTCAAATAGATGCAAGTAAAACACAGCAGAATATAAATAAAATCAAAGACTAGCGGTCCTGTTGCTCTATTTTCACCTGTAAAGCAGGAGTGAGGTAGGCGGAGGTGTGCTCTGGTGCAGGTGTGCGCAGCGGTCAGGTGAAGAATCCGCGAGTTTCTCTGTGAATTTCCCATTACATCGTTGTGCACTTGGAGCTTGTTTAGGGTTTTTTTCGGTGTAAAAAGAAGTTTTCTTCCCATGCACAATGGACACTAATGTTTTTGTCACTTTTTATGGAATCAAACTCAAAGTAAGGTCAGTACTTCCACGTTTTAAACGCTGCACGCTCATACTCTCTCCGTACTCGATATATGATCCAACACAGCTGTTGTCACAAACGTCGCACTCGCTTACGTCACTGTCATGAGACATTCTTGCAAAAAAATCACGGTTTTAGTAACGCAGTAACGCAGCGTTCCTACGGGAAAGTAACGGTAATCGAATTACCGTTTTTGCAATAGTAATCCCTTACTTTACTGTAATCAGAATACAGTAACGCGTTACTGCCCATCTCTGGGTATATGTAATTATAAATTAGGTTGTTTTATATTTTTGCTAAGTACTGTTTAGAATACCAGAATTGGGAAGATGGTGTAGGTTTAAGTTTATTATAAAGGCTTTATGACTTTTCCTATAATGCCATGGTGGGCCGGTCACTAGTCAAAATGCCTAGGCTGTTTTTTTTTTGTTTTTTTTGTCCCAGTCCAGCCCTGAGTAGCAGTAGTCGTAAGTAGTAGCAGTAGTTTACTGGTGGAACTGGTGTGCGTTTCTTCGAGACGCCTACTTTATTACGTCATCACGCATGCGTCGTGACGCAGCAGGCGGGTCCTGCTGTCAGTTTCCCCGAGTTGTACAGGTAAGAAGGACAGCTGCTATATACATGTACTATAGTATAATAGTGAACACATGAGAGATTTTAACCATGTCACTTTGGGGTGAACTTGGTCGCCAAACGTTGCAGTAACATTTTGTTCACTCGTGGTTAATTTTTTTCCTCTTTCTTCTCGCTCCGCAGCTTTAAACGCCGCAAACTAGCACAAGTTAGCTCAAATGAATTAGTGTTGCTAACAGCAGAGTAATTAAAGCAGATCTTTAGTGTTGTGAACTGTGTTCGTCGAGTTTCATAACGCTGTCAATGTCTTACTTGTGTAAAATAAACCTGTTGTGTAATGCTATGCTACTTACGCCCGATGCTTCCTGAAATATGAAGTTGTCTTTATTTGCTGACTTTATGCAATAAATTATTTGCTAAGATTTTATGCAACTGAGTGGGGATTTCTCTAAAGTGCTCACTGTATTCTTTAAGGTCATTGTTAATTGTGCGTGAACACAATACATCCTCGTGTTATATATGCTCAGAGGCGAGAATTGTTCTTTCTTTAAATCTTAAAATACAGTTTACAAACACAAGTTGGATCCTGTAAAATACATAAATAATATATTTTTTTAAAATATCAGAGCTAATTTCATGTTATGATAAAATTAGCTCTGATATAAGGGAGCCGCAGAGGACACATCTGTAATGTTTAACTCTGTTCACCTTGTTGACAGTTCGACCTAAAGGCCACCATGGTGCTGAACCCAGTCATTTCCAAGCTTGCTGGTAAACTGGTTGTGCTGGCCAGCGCTTCTCCTAGAAGACTTGAGATTCTCCGCAGTGCAGTATGCGTTTTCCTGATTATTCCCTTGTTATTCCTTATTATTCCGTATATTCACAGAATGTAGTTTGAGTTTGCACAATAGGACTGAGTGTAAATGTGTAAAACCCTAGTAGGTAAAAAATCATCTCATCATCATCCCTAGCATGTAGTCTGGTTCATTATAATGGGTGAAATAGAAGGAAAAAGGGAGAAGACATTTGATTTTTAAGTTCTTTAAAACATGGCAGTTTTATGGTGTTGGTTAAAAATTAGCAGTTGTATTAAAGTATAAAAAGCAGACAAATCCACATTAAGAGAGCAGATTTACAGAGCAAAATTTAGAAAAAATAACAGAGTTCAAATCAATCATTGGGTACAAATTTATTTATTTGACACAGCTAGAAAAGCCATGTCAAATAAAAACATGTATAGCTAGTTCACTGAAGGAACTACTTTAAACTTAATTTAAAGGATTATTGATTTAAGAAACCCATACTGACTGGATTTTTCATAGGTTGGTAAATCTGATAAGAGTGGCGTAAGTCCTATTAAATATAACAAGTGTTTTGTTTGCTTTGCCCTCTTATCTGTCAGGGTTTACGTTTCGAGGTTGTGCCGTCCTGGTTTAAGGAAACCCTCGATAAAGGGCTTTTCAAAGCACCTCATGAGTATGCTGTTGAGACAGCCAAGCAAAAGGCCCTGGAGGTAGCCAGGAGGATGCCCTTTGTAAGATAAGCTACTTTTTTATGACAAATAATAGAATTTATTCAGTCAGATGTCATCACTGAGAACACTTTGTCTTGATTTACTTTAGAAACACCTGAAGACTCCAGATATAGTTATTGGGGCTGACACAATTGTGGTAAGACAGAAAAAAGCACAAAAGCAAATGCATTTTCTTAATGGCTACTGTAAAGTTTTTCTTTATTCACTCTAGCCAACTGTTTATTTCACAGACTGTAGATGGCATGATTCTGGAGAAACCAGTGGACAAACATGATGCTTATAGGATGCTGTCAAGGTCTGTGTCAATGGGAAACATTCAGAGTTAACATTAAAAAACCATAAAATGGAAAAAGATATCATGGTGATTTTGTCTTTCTCTTCCAGTTTGAGTGGTAAAGAGCACAGTGTGTTCACTGGTGTAGCTATTGTCCTCTGCCATGAAAAAGAAAGTAAGTACAGACTCAGAAACTGTCACACTTGTACTTTATTTTTCTGTAAAATGAAAGAAATTCAGAAAGAAGCAGTTCCCTATTACAGATCACTAGCACAGATGTTTTAAGCAAAAATAGTAAGAGAAACATTTCTGCCATAAATATGTAGAAGACATTTATTGGGCAATTCTGTCTTGCGACTCTTTTTTTCATTTCTTCAATGCTGCCTTCAAGATGAAGAAGTCGATTACCAGCTGGTAGATTTCTACGAAGAAACTAAAGTGAAGTTTGCTGATCTCTCAGAAGATATGCTATGGGAGTACATCAATAGTGGTGAGCCCATGTAAGTGTGATCTTTTTAACTTTTCACATTTGTAACAGTTATTGTTGACTCTTTCTAAGTATTCGATCAATGGAGGTCATTTAACTGCTTGTGAGTTTCATGAACTTGTTGCTTTTTGGACTTTGATGCCTGATTTTGTTCCAGCTGTGTTTGCCTTGTCCCATTTGACACGAGTCAGCAAACTATGACAATTCTGCTCAGTTCAGAAATAGTGTGAAACTGTTGCAGAATGCATCCAGTAAACAGCTGATCATTTACAGTATGTGTTTATTGATCTTTGCCTACATGTGTTTGTACAAGTGAAACCTTTCTGTGTGTGTCTCAGGGACAAGGCTGGTGGCTATGGTATTCAGGCTCTGGGTGGCATGCTGGTCGAGTATGTCCATGGAGACTTTCTCAATGTTGTGGGTTTTCCCCTCAACCACTTCTGCAAACAGCTAGACCTTATTTACAATTTTTGTACTTCCTCTTTGAAAAGCACGTCTACCCTTCCAAGCTGCAGCGACAATCTTCCCATCTCAGTACCCACCCAGCCCCCCTCCAGCTCACAAGCTCTGCCCAGCCACAACTCATCCGTTCGCAGACCAAGCAGCCCCTGTGACATTCAAAGACTCCACACCCAGATCACCCCCACAGCCAGTCCTGCCCTTAAGGTTTGTTTTTATAACTCTATAACAAAAATCTGTCGCCTTTTGACACTATTTATAGAAAATCTTCCCATAGGTAAAAAGAGAAGACAGTGAAAGTGAAAGTTCACAGACATTGGTCAATAGCACGTCTAAACATACAGACAACAGGAAGGTCAAGCTTCATGACAATGCAACATTACCATCGATAACAAGGAGAGGGCAGGTGACTGAACCTACAAGAGGAGACTTGGAGCGAATCTGTGAACTGATGGATGGATTCAAAGCCTCAAAGGTAATCAGTGCCTTTGTATAAAAAAAAAAGTCCTTTCTGTAAAAGACCTGTTACAGAAAAAATGTCAACTTTATGCGTTTGTTCTTTGTGTAGTTGGCTTCCACAAGATGTAATGAGTAACGTAGCTCAGCTTAAAACCTTGAGTTGTCTTGAGTTAACTGCATCCAAAGCTCACTATTTTTGCAAAATAAAGCTTCCACTCTATACAAGCAAATCAGTGAAACCAATCTGCGGTGGTTTTGCACAGAGACATGTGCTGACATATTTCTTGATACGTTTATGTGACTTCCTGTGTACCCTGCAAGTTGCCTGTGAAGCTTAAGGTGACCACAAATCTTGAGGACACAGATTTAAGCAAATAATAAATACAGGTTTGTGCAAAATATTGAGCTAAAACACATTTCTGGGTTTTCGACGTTAAAAGAAGGGAATTAAAAACCTTTTGGTAAACAAAACTGGAACAATTGCATTTAAAGTTTGATATGTAGTGCAATACATTCACATGTGCAGAGTGTTTCCTGTGGTACCAGTTCCCACACATCACTAAATCTCAGTCTTTCCACCCACATATTTGTATTTAACAGCGGGCAAGTTGCTCTTCTTCCATTAAATGCTGCTTATTTTAGTTTCTTCCAGATAAACATTTGGTGGTTGCTGTCAAAAATCTCAGTTTGAATAGTCCAGCTTTTCAAATGACTGTCTTACCCAGATGTTGCTTTAGTTGCTTACGAGACTGTCAGGCTAAAGTTCACAAGTTTCCACTTTGAGAAGGTGGCACTGCACAGTAGAAGATTACTGCTGTGTTTGCTAAATCTGTTTGTGAAAGTCATTGTCAGTAGAAAGGAGAAGTTCCTCTCAGGTCCTGAACTGCTTTGGCTTACGCCTATCAAATCAAGCGAGGCTTTCTAAGTCCTGAATATTCTGAATGATTGTGGTAAAATGTGAAAAAATAGAAAAAGTGATCACAATAACACCTTAAGTTATGGTTATCAAACCTTTACAGGCAATCATAATGTGTTATTTAATGCGTGGTATAAATCCAGTTCATTCATCCATAACTATGAGCTGGATGTGGGAAACATCAGCAAACTCTGTTTACTTTTTTTACATTTAGCACACAGATTGTTGCTGATCTTGTTGTCTGTCTCTAAAGAAAATAAAGTAAATAATGAACTAGAGAACAATAGTTTTTAGTTGAGATGGTAGCTCACTGGTATGCAGCTGTAGTGGAATACAGTAAATCATGCACTTTGCTATGAATAGAAATGTTTGTGTTACTATTTGAAGAACCAGGAAGCATATGCTTTTCGTTAACAACAATCTCACATCAACATAAAAGGGGAAAAAAAGCTAACTTTGTTTCTGCATTCCCTTCTACTTTTCCAAAAACATTGCAGGCACTTTTTACAGCATCCAAGTTGTGTTTGTTTGACCTGCTACATAGCCGGCCTGGGCTGGATGCAGCACAGGTGGCCCAGGAGATCAAAGCATCTGCAAAGGGGACCGAATGTCTGCTGGAAGCCTGTGTATCTCTGGGATTGTTGAAGAGTATAGAGAAAGGTTAGCCAGCTCTCTTATTAATTGCATCATGATATTTTTCCCTTGCCTTCAGCAGCAGGCATTTAATACTTAATTTGGAAATATCTTGCTGTCACTCTGTTGTTAGCATGCCAAAAGCCAGTGTATGAGAACGCAGATCTGGCCACAGATTTTCTGAGGTCAGATGCCCCGTGTTCACTGCATGGCTACCTCCAGCACTGTAACGAAACCATGTGGCCACTTTTCTCCCACCTTGAGAGTGCTGTGCAGGAGGGCACCAGCCAGCGTGAGAAGGCCTTTAGCAAGCAAATGCTTCAGGTGGCTATCTCTGATTTCTGTGTCATATATCTGCGGTGCTGGTGAGAGCATATTCAAACTCACCTTCTCTCTTTAAAGGAAACTTCCTCCAGCAGTCGGGAAGGCAAACTGAGATTCATGAAGGCCATGCACAACATTGCAAAAATTACAGGGAAAACCATAGCAACGGCATTTGACCTCTCCACCTATAAGTCAGCCTGTGATCTCGGAGGTAAGAAAAGAATGCAAAACGTTACAGCTTGTCACTGAATATGAAACCACTGCTCTACATCTTTTGTCTTAATTCACTGTCTCAGGGTGCACCGGTGCCTTGGCTTATGAATTCGCTGAAGCTCATCCTGGATTGTCTGTAACAGTGTTTGACTTACCTGCTGTTGTCGAGTTGAATGAATTTTTCCATCCACAGCACCCAGACAACAGGGTATCATTTGTAGCAGGTCAGTTGTTTTGTGACACTGAAAATTGTGACTGAAAGATTGTTTGGATCATATTAGACAGAGTGACAAATATGCCAACAAATTCCGCTCAATCTGTGATTAATTTGAGGGCTTTTTTTCACTTTCTTTATGATCAGGAGACTTTTTAAAAGACGAATTACCCAAAGCAGACTTGTATATCCTGGCGAGGATTCTTCATGACCTGCCTGATGAGAAAGTGCATATACTGCTGAGTAAAATCGCAGATGCATGCACAGCAGGTTTGTAAAGCTATATTCACTCATATGAGTACTTATCTTTACTGAACAGTGAATGTCAGCCAAACATCGCTTCAAACAGAAAGCATATTGTTAATGCTGAGTATAATATTCTCATTCTTCAAAAGCTCTTTTTCTGCAGATGCTTGAAACTGATTTGACCGATTGATTCTCATGCTGTGCTAAAACGATAGGTGCTGGTTAGTTTGGGTTTAACAATGTCTTTGTTCTGAACCGCTGTTGCAAAGAGCTCAGTGTTGAAAAAGACGAAGGCTTAAAGCCAAGTCAGAGTGCTGCCTTGCTTATGCAATACTTTTTTGTGGAAACATAATGTAAAGAGCGAAAAGGGAGTACAAATCTGTTCTCTGATGTTCTGTGTCTGCTTATGTTTCATGTTGCTAGGCTGTGGACTCCTGCTAAGCGAGATCTTCCTGGATGAAGACAGAAGGGGCCCCAGTCGTGGGCTGCTGCAGGCCCTTAGCATGAGCGAGGGGAAACAGAGGAGCGCAACTGAATATAGCCTGCTTTTGAAGAGCCACGGTTTCATCACAGCGCATATCAGACATACAGACAACCTCCTGGATGCCATGCTGTGCATCAAAGCTTAACACTACATGCACAGTATACATTGTGGTGTATGCTGTAGGTAACCGTTGCCAAAATCAGGACTGTTTTTTTGTGGTTCTTTAAAACAAGCTAGCTGATAACCAATAAAAGACGTCTTTGTTTTAAAGTGTTTCATGTGTGCTCTTTACACACTTATAATCCTGAATGTGTTTTAAATTCTCACCTGTAAGATCGCTGAATTGTTGAGAAACACGGAGGTCTGTGTTACCCTAAAGCTTTCATAACCATTAACATGCATTTAAACTTTGCAAACAAATCATTGTGGCTTTCAATCATTTTACCACAATACACGGGGGCTTTGTTCGTGTTTGTTTGCTTGAAGAAGCACTGGCATGTAGAAATGGTGATACCACATTAAAAAAAACAAAAATATCCGGTTCATGAAAATGTCAAGCTTTAAACATGGGTTAAAAAAAGTATTTAATTTTTTAAACCTGGTTAGGGTGGAGCTAATTCAGAGTATGTTGAATACAACAGGATTTGTTGTGTTATAAAATATATTTTATGCTATTGTGTGGAGTAGAGAAACCGTGGCTGCCAGTTTGAGCCTGCTACTTCTTTGGTATAATGCATTAGAGCCCTTATAAATTACTACTAAAATAAAGGTATCCTTTGCAAACCCTTGAAAAATAAGTCTCTTTTTGGTGGCAGTTATTCTGTAAAATGCACCACACCCCAATCACAAGGTCCAGCAAGCCAGCAGACATCAGATCTGACAGGCAGTACAAGTTAATCCTAATACAAGCCATATTTTGTGTTTGCCAGTTTCATCCATGCTTCAAGGCTTGGGCAGTCTTTTTTAACTGGCCTTCTGGTGGCGCACCCACTGGTTTGAAATGTTGGCAGGGAGTAGCCACTCAGGTCAAATGTCATTAGAAGCCTGCGCCAGTCTGCAGCTTTATAATGAGGAAAATAGTCTGTAGCGCTGCCTACGTATGTGTTTTTTTTTTTGTTGCAGTGAAAGGAAAAGCAGTACCTCATATCATCTTGCTTGGACTGAAATCCGTGTGAATGGTCTTCATTGTCTTGGAGTGTTCGGTGTGGAGCTGCCATACCAAAAAAAATTTGGGGTGTTGTCAGCTGGATGATGGCTGCGGGTGGAGCGTGTGCATCTGACCTCTGAAGTGTCACATCCTGATGATGTCTGGATAAAATGGTGGGAGATGATTAAAGAAGAAACGATAATGTCTAAGTGGGATGTCATTTTCGTAAACAGATGGATTTCCCCCAGCGGCCATGACTTAATGTTCGCATTCACTCAAAGACTCTGAAAAGCATCAGTTATGTTTTCTTTATTTATTTATTAACGGTCCTGCTCGATGGATCCATTACACGACCCTCATTCTCTTACCCCGAAAAACTGCTACACCCCCCTGACTAAGTGGAATTCAAACTTCAATCTGTTCCTCTCTTTCCTAAAGCGCTTTTGCTTGGAATTTAAATCACGCTGATGAACAGACAAATACATCAAAGCTCTCACAAGTTAAACACAACATTTGGTGGTTTCGACTATAATTGCCCTCTAAAAAAATAATGACTACACTTTCATCCTCTGACATTAATCTCTAAATAGACTATCTTAAACGTTAAGTGACACTGGATATCGTGGAAACGTAACCCAAATATTTATCTTGCAGTTGAAATGAGCGCTGTGGTTTAGTTTCCTGCTGTAGCCGTAAATCTCCTCAAGATGGCATCAAAAACCTGAAGAACCCTTCTAGAAATGTGGCCACACACTCTCACACACACACTACAGATTTCCCTGTTTGGTTGTTCTTTCCAGCAGCACATGCAGATGCAGGTTTATAGGCATCATTAAATGACAGCTAACTATGAGAATCACACCTGATTATGCTAAGTTTGGGAACTTGATTCGACTTTTATGCATCGGGTTGGCTAGTATAGTGTCTTAATCAAAAGAAGCTATAACACCAACCCTTAACTCCTTGCAGATTTACCTCTTGAATTTCAGTTTTTTGGCAGCGGTTGAGGCAACCAGACAGCTGAGGGGGAATATGTGGGAATATCTATGGCCATGATAAATAGCTCTTATTCTTTGTGACACAGAAAGTGTCTCCGCATTACTCTTCATTTTGGAACCCACTCTAAGTATTTTCCTAGGAGGGTAATAAGGGTGGTCATGTTATTCATGGCTATTTTCTTGTCAGTCTGGGCTCAGGCTCTTTGTGACATCTAACTGATTTCCATTACTCAGATTTAGTTCTTTGGATGAGGAGAGACAGAGGGAGGGTGGACTCAAGTTCAAATATGACACGGAGTGTAAATCACATGAGGTTTTATTGTGAATGCCCACCAAATGCACTATATACTTACAATACTTTTCTTCCATATTGATTATGAAAGCCTGTGTTGATTTAATAACTCCAGAACTTATATTGCTTTCCCGAGGAGATCCTTTGAAAGACAACTAAGTGAGACCAAATGGCTGCGTAGTAGGAGAATGTCAGGCTTGTGAAACACAGATGAGTTTCACAAATCAAAGCGCATAGTCTGCTAGCCTGTGTTGCCTTAAAACATGATGAAGCATTTCCATGAAAGGATTTGCATACCCGTTCGCTTCCAGTGTCCCAGCTGCACCCGCTCACCCTCAAATGCCTCAACTTTTGTGTACCGGTATCAACAGCTAAGACTCTGCTAGGCTTTCTAATGAAAACCATTCAAGTCAATCAAGTTTACCAGAGACCAAAGGCCAGTGTAATTTGGGAAAATTGCTGAAACTCCAAAGTAATCTTCTGTAATTCGATCTTGCCTATTGAACACTGGCTGTACTGTACGTGTCGGATAAGAGCTCAGTCATTTTCTTCAAATGCAGTCCTGACAAGCAGCATGGCTTTCCACCTGCAAGTAATCATCATTCTAGTGTTAAGTGCTTTGATATTAAAATGACTGATTTAAGACCATTTGCTGCTAGTAGATAGCAATTTCAAAACACTTCCATATGTTGATAGTGAGGATAAGCTGAGTTTGTGAACCGGCCGGGCTGCGTGTTGTGTTTACTGTAGTAGAACAGCCAGGAAAAACACACCGCAGCTAAGCCATAACTTTAGTTTTTCAGTCTTTCAGTTGAGAAGGCAGACTTTACATTTTACATGAATGATGCAATCAAAGCATAACACCAGGAAACTTTCATAAGATTTAGGATGTTCATTTCTAATGTAAACTTGTACGTTGTGCAGTTTGTAACCACATGGGGGCAACGTTGGCTAAAGGAAACCTCCATGAAAGAGTACGATTTTTTATCAAGTTCTACTGTTTGTTGATGCTTTTATCAAAGTGATGGGAGAAGACAGTCATTCTGACTGCTTGGGTATTTGAAAATTGGCAAATATCTATGTCAAACCTTTGTGTTATCTTAGCTGAAAAATAAATAGCATCACTGTTTATACCGAAAGCCTTTCTGCGACTTCGAGAAGGATACGCAGAATCCGAATGGCTGCATGTAGAATAACAAACATCCTCTAATCAGTCAGTTTTCTGAATTGCCTCTCAAAACTGAACTCATGCTTGGGCACCTGTTTCAAAGAACAGGCTTGTTTATCAAAGTCCTCCTCTGTCAACAAACAGAATAAGTGCGATGATGGTTGGCTCCTCAACCCACATCTGATTTCAGCAAATGTGCAGTTGTTCAAAGTGAGTTGTGCTTCATTGATTTGTTTCAAGGCAGAGGAAAAATAACCTCAGGGCTTCTACCAGTTAGAAATAACAATGGAGTCCTTCATTGCTGTTTGTAGTTTTGTTGGCCTGACATCAGTGGTAGAACATGGAGGGATTTTCACTGTGAATTTAACGACTAGCAGGGACTCTGAAAAACACTACTTTGGGGTTTTTTATTGTATTAGATCAGTAGATTTTTTTACTCCAGTGTTTCAGTGATTCTGCAGAGATTTTGAATCGATTCATGTCTAATTTTCTCTTTAATGCTTATATGATTTTTTTTTTTTTGCTTTTCTTAATTTGGTAACTTTAATAATAATTTAACTTTGGTATGTTTGCTAATTTAATTTTTTTTTCTTCCTGAGAGTTATAATGGAAAATCAATACCACTCTCATGCCTGCACACTAACTTGAAGGCAAGAAAGACTAGCTTAGCTTAGCACAAAGCCTGGAAGCAAGGGGAAACCTGTAGACTGTATAAAGAAGACAGAATCATTCATTTGTGAAGTGTTATTTTTAAGCTAGCAAAGCAAATACATATTAAAGATGCATGTAGCCACCATCCCCCAGTAGTTAATGAAGTCTTGTTGTAAAGCCTTGAAAACAGTGTGTTGGCTATCACCATCTTGGTATTCTAAATCTATGTATAAGAAGTGGCATGCTCAAAGTGATTTGTCATATGCATACATAGGCACAACCTAAAGCACACTTTTATAGCGATCATAATTTAAAAAAAAACACAATTTGAATATATACAAAAAAACAAAAACAACTAGTAACTGAGATAATACATTATTTAAGACATCTGCTCCTGCTGACTATTAAGTTATTGTCATGCTAGGAGTGGTTGGAGGATGTGGCATGACCGTGTGCAATGACCTTGCGATCTCTTTACCTTTTAAAATAGTTGCTTCGACGGCAGGGACCAGTCTGCTTGTGATGATATAGTGATCAAACACCATTAAACAATTTTTCATTTAATTAAACCTGATGAATCTGAGAAAAATTCAAATCTGTTCCATTCTGTTGCAAATATCTACACACATAGAAATTCTGTTTAACATTATATTCGAGCCAGAACCTCAAATTTGAAACAAAAATTCAGGAATTTGACGACACATAGTGACATAGTTACAGACATTTCCAACTCGGCAACTTTGCTTTCAAATTAAAATTTTGTCAGAATACAACTGTTTGGCAACACAGTAAGTCGAGTTCCCTACTACAAAAAGATGTGTCATAGAAGTGTTGCACTCATAAGCTTATGGTGATTCAGACTGATTGCTGGTCTCTTTTGATGGTTTGTTTATAAGTTAGACAGCAAATATTTACAAAGCTTTGCCAATTTGACTGAGAAATGCTTGTAGTGATGTAAATTTGTCATTTGTGCAACTTGTAACTCAGAGTGCAGTTGTTTAGAGACAGGTTGCC